GTGTTCGTGTCTCTGATCTTGCTACTTCTTTGATCCGTGAAATTTGTGCAAAATGGCATGAGGTGCAAAGTTTCATGGAACGATATAACCCTGATAAAGCAGTAGCAAGCCGAGGCATAAACATTTTCAATGATAATGCCATGTGTCACTTTAGAAACATTTTAAAACGTAGACAAAAACAAATCACACTGGACAACATTTTAGTGAGACAGAGGCCCAGTGAGTCTGATGCAGAGTCGAGTAGTGCCAAGAGACAGAAAAAAGAATCCCCTTCCAAACAATGACATTTCACTTCCTCACCACCTTCCACTTACGCCGTCAACTCTCCTCCATACAGGTACAGTAAAACTAAATTAAGTTTTCGTCTATATTTGATCTGGTTAGTGTTGTGTTTATCTTTTTTGTGATAGATTTAATGGTTTCCATTGATTTTGTCTTAAGAACTTGTGCACAAAGTAGTGTTGTAAAATTTTAAATAAGCAATCATCTGGGGTCGAGAAACGGATTAATCCATTTTACATTAATTCCTATGGGGAAAATAGTTTCGGTTTACGAACGACCTTCAGGAATGAATTAAGTTCGTGAACTGAGGTTTGACTGTACTTGAAAACCCCTCAAAAATCTGACCCTTGGTGTCCTTATTATGGAGGGGGTCCACCAAAGCCAAGGTGTGAAGTATCATGACAAGGGCTACATGGCACCTAAGTGATGACAGCAGTATTGCCAGTGATCCCTTCAGGGTACCAGGTAGCACCCAGGCATGTTAATACCTCCCACCAGCATGGGGTTCTGTGCATGGTGACATATGTTCCAAAGGTTCTCATGGAATGATAACAGAATGTTTGAATAAAAGAGTAATGATGGAAGTCATTTGGGGTTTATGGAAACCAGTGTACTTTCAGTCCCTACACCCAAAGAAGATGCCCATGAGGCCCAGATCTAAGGGCAATATACTTATTAAAGAGGTTAATCCTCTCTAAGGACCCAGGGCCTTTGTGACATCAGGGACCTACAAGAAGGCCTTGATTATGGCCAACAATGAAAGATTTCTT